TTGGATTGCATTTCATTTAATTGATTTTTAATTTTGACCTGATTAGATCTAAATTCTGCAGTCATGAAGTCTCTTGAATCCTTTATGCTTTTTTCCAGAGCCACCAGTAGCTTTGTAATTGTGCTTCTGAATTGGCTTTCTGACATCATATTGTAATACAATTTCTGTAAGTCTGTGACAGAGAGTACTGTTTCTGATTCTTTCTTTTGTGGTGAGTTCTTCCTTCTATCATTTTGCTCAGTGAAGAGTGGCTGTATGAGTGGGCTTAATAAAAAATATCGACCATGACCTAAGTAAATTCCACCCTAGATGATTCTTGCTAAAAGCAAAAACCCTTCTCTCTATAGCATTCCATCTGTTCTCTCTGTAAATCTCAGGTAAATCATAGGTGTTCAGGATGATTTGAAAGTTATATAGGTAAGTTGGTGGGACCAGGAGAGTGAGGACCCCTATTCTTCCGCCATCTTGCCCTGAGTCTGTTATCAATTTCTCCATTAATATTTGTTTTATATACTTAGGTATTCTGATGTTGGGTGCATGTATATTTACAATTCTTTTATATTCCTGTTGATTTGAACCTTTTACCATTGTGTAATGACCTTCCGTGCTTCCAGAGATAGTTTTTGCTTTAAAGTTTACTTTGTCTGATTGGTATTACCATTCCTGCTATATTTTGATACCTTTTACATGGAATATCTTTTTCACTCCTTCACTTCCAGCCTATTTGTGTCTTTGAATCTAATGTGAGTTTATTGTACATAACAACAGTTGGATTCTGGTAATTTATGCATTCAGCTACTCTGTGTCTTTTGGGGGGGGGGTTAGTTCATTTACATTTAAAATCATTACTGATAGAGGATTTACTATTGCCACTTTGTAAACTTACCTGTCAGTTTGGTAGCTCTTTTATATATACATATACATACTACATCTTCTTTATCCATTTATCTGTCGATGGGCATCTGGGCTTCTTCCATATTTTGGCTATTGTGGGCATAGCTACTATAAACATTAGGGTGCAGGTGCCCCTTCTATTCACTATGTTTGTATCCTTTAGATAAATACTTAGTAGTGCAATTTCTGGGTTGTAAGATAGTTCTATTTTTAACTTTCTGAGGAACCTTCATACTGTTTTCTGACTGGGTGCAACAGTATGCATTCCCACCAACAGCGTAAGAGGGTTCCCCTTTCTCCACATCTTTCATCAACATCTATTGTTTCCTGAGTTGTTAATGTTAGCCATTCTGACTGGTGTGAGGTGGTATCTCATTATGGTTTTGATTTGTATTTCCCTGATGAGTGATGTTGAGTTTGATAATTTCTTTTTTTTAATAATAAATTTATGTTTTATTGGTGTTCAATTTGCCAACATACAGAATAACACCCAGTGCTCATCCCGTCAAGTGCCCCCCTCAGTGCCTGTCACCCTTTCACCCCCACCCAACACTAAACTCAGATCTTTCAATAGTAACTCTGAATGTGAATGGGCTTAATACCCCATCAAAAGGCGCAGGGTGTCAGACTGGATAAAAAAGCAGGACCCATCTATTTGCTGTCTACAAGAGACTCATTTTAGACAGAAGGACACCTACAGCCTGAAAATAAAAGGTTGGAGAACCATTTACCATTCAAATGGTCCTCAAAAGAAAGCAGGGGTAGCCATCCTTATATCAGATAAACTAAAATTTACCTTGAAGACTGTAGTGAGAGATGAAGAGGGACACTATATCATACTTAAAGGATCTATCCAACAAGAGGACTTAACAATCATCAATATATATGCCCATATATCAATATATATGGGAGCTGCCAAATATATCAATCAATTAATAACCAAAATTAAGACATACATAATAATACACTTATACTTGGTGACTTCAATCTAGCACTTTCTACACTCAATAGGTCTTCTAAACACAACATCTCCAAAGAAACGAGAGCTTTAAATGATAAACTGGACCAGATGGATTTCACAGATATCTACAGAACTTTACATCCAAACTCAACTGATAATTTCTTTTTTTTAAGATTTTTATTTATTCATGATAGACATAGAAAGGCAGAGACATCGGCAGATGTCTGAGAGAATCAGGCTTCTCGCAGAGAGCCCAATGCAGGACTCAACCCTGGGTCTCCAGGATCACACCCTGAGCTGAAGGCAGATACGCAACCACTGAGCCACCTAGGTGTCCCTGAGTTTAATAAGTTCTTTATAGATTTTGGATATTAGCCCTTTATCTATCATTTGCAAATATCTTCTCCCTTTCTGTAGGTTGTCTTTTAGTTTTGTTGAATGTTTCCTTTGCTATGCAAAAGCTTTGTGTCTTGATGAGGTCCCAATAGTTCATTTTTTGCTTTTGTTTCCCTTGCCTTCCTTGCCTTTAAGACATGCCTAGTAAAAAGGTGCTGTGGCTAAAGTCATAGAGTTGCTGCCTGTGTTCTCCTCTGGGCTTTTGATGGATTTCTGTCTCACATTGAGGTCTTGCACCCATTTTGAGTTTATTTTAGTATGTGGTATAAGAAAGTGGTCCAGTTTCATTCTTCTCCAAGTGACTGTCCAATTTTTCCAACACCATTTTTTAAAGATTTTATTTATTCATGAGAGACACAGACAGAGAGAGAGGCAGAGACATAGGCAGAGGGAGAAGCAGGCTTCATACAGGGAACCTGATATGGGACTCCATCTCAGGACTCCAGGATCATGCCCTAAGCTGAAAGCGGGCACTTAACTGCTGAGACACCCACGCGTCCCCCAACACCATTTGTTGAAGAAACTCTTTTCTCCATTGGATATTCTTTCCTGATTTGTCAAAGATTAGTTAACCAGAGAGTTGAGAGTCCCATTTCTGAGTTCTCTATCCTGTTCTACTGATCTATGCATCTATTTTTGTGCCTGTACCATACTGTCTTGATGACTGGAGCTTTGTAATACAGCTTAAAGTCCAGAATTGTAATGCCTCCAGCTTTGGTTTTCTTTTTCAATAGCCCTTTGGTCTTTTCTGGTTCCATATGAATTTTAGGGTTGTTTGTTCCAACTCTGTGAAAAAATATCCATAGTATTGTGATAGAGATTGCACTGAATGTGTAGATTGCTTTGGGTAAAATAGACATTTTGACAATATTTGTTGGTCCAATCCATGAGCATGGAATGTTTTTCCATTTCTTTGTGTCTTCTTTAATTTCTTTCATAAGTGTTCTATAGTTTTTCGAGTACAGATCCTTTACTTCTTTGGTTAAGTTTATTCCTAGGTACCTTATGGTTTTTGATGCAATTGTAAGTGGGATTGGTTCCTTAATTTCTCTTTTTTCTGTCTCATTGTTAGTGTATAGAAATGCAACTGAAAAAAAAAAGAAATGCAACTGATTTCTGTCATTGATTCTATATCCTGCCTCTTTGCTGTAGAGATCTAGCAATTTTTCAATGGAGTCTTTGGGTTTTCCACATAGAGTATCATGTCATCTGCAAAGACTGAGAGTTTGCTTTCTTCCTTGACAATTTAGATGCCTTTTATTTCTTTTTGTTATCTGATTGCTGAGGCTAGGACTTCTATGTTGAACAACAGTAGTGAGAGTGGACATCCCTGTCATGTTCCTGACCTTTGGGGAAAGCTCTCAGTGACAGTAGCAAACTTCAACACAGTTTGCTGGACAATATTCCTGGAGGATAAGACACACATCAGCCAGGTTTTCAGTGTCAGCAATGGCATGAGCTACTAGCAGAAACTTCTCAGGTTCTTTTCAGATTTTTGATACGGATGCTATCACTTTTCCTTTTGTAGAAGTGCTGTTCTATGTCAATTATATCTCAATAAGCAAACAAAAAACCAAAAGAACAAAAACAAAGGCAAAAGAAAGAAAGAAAGAAAGAAAGAAAGCCAAAGACCAACATCTTTCACACATGCAGATGCAAAAATTCTTCACAAAATACTAGGAATAAAATTTAGTAATATATTAAAAAAAAAAGAAGTGCTGTTCCATTTGGAACTCAAGGTTGGTTCCATACCTTTCTTCTTCATTTACAAGACATCAAAGTCTCCAGACATGATGAAAGTTTTCCTTTAAGTTATGACAGTATCTCTTCTCTGGACAGCATGGAAAGCTGGCCACTACTTCTTTGAATAAACTTTCTGCTCCTTCTCTCTTTCTTTGCTTTCTGAGACTCCCATAGTGCGAATATTGGTAGACTTACTGGTATCCCATAAGTCCCTTAAAGTATCGTCCCTCTTTTTAATTCTTTTTTCTTCTCTAGATGATTTCCACTGGCTTGTCTTTGAGTTCACTGATCTTATCTTCCACCTCATTTGGTCTGATGTTGATCCCTGCTATTGAATTTTCAATCCAGTTATCATAATCTTCACCTCTATGATTATGTTTCGCTTTTTAATATTTTCTCTTTACTGAAATTCTCACTTTGTTCATGCACTTCTCTCCTTTACCTCAGTGAGCATCTTTATGACCATTATTTTGAATTCTCTGTCAAGTAAATAAATCATTTATCTCCATCCCATTAGGGTCATTTTCTGGAGATTTAACTTATTCTTTGTTTGTTCTTTTATTTCTCTGTTCCTTCATTTCCCTTAGCTCTTTGAATTGGTTTCTATACTTTATGTAGAAACCATTTCTCCTAGTCTTAACAGAGTGGCCTTGTAGAAGCTAGTAGGAGATAACCCTTGCCAATCAGCCCAGCTGGAGATACAGGTGCCTCTCAAACCTTTGTGCTTGTCCAAACTGCCATCTTTGTTCTTAGTGGCCCCTGGGAAATTAGGTTATATCAAGTTTCATCAGTGCTTTCAAAGCAAAGGAAAGGTACACACACATTCCGGCTGCTAAAGTACTAATAAGTGCCTGCCCATCAGCTCCTAGATGCAAGATAATTAGAAGTGTAACCTTTGGACTGCAGCTGGGAAAGTTGTAATGTTAGATACACAGTCTAAGGCCTTTTAGGGAGAAGCATAGCTAGGTGCTTTTGCCTGTTCTCTTTGTGTTCTCTTTGTCCCTAGCCAGTGGGAATACCTGCCTGGAGTGCTTGTGTTTGTTCTCTATGGTCCTGGGGGATGAGCAAATGCTGAGAAACATTAGCTCCCAGAGTTAGATGATTTAGGAGCCAGTCCCACAAGAGCCAGTAGCACAGGGTGCTATATATGTGGACAAACTCCTTTCACAGAGAAGCTAGAAACTTGGTTTTATCATTGGAGGAGGCCGTAGAGAGAAGGTACAGGAAATTCCTACATGCTAATCCAGGCTTCTGAAAAACAACTAATTATCTGTTCTATAAGCTCCCAAATGCAGACTAAATGGAAGCACAACTCTCCATCTGCATTTGGGAAAGTATTCAGTCTAACCATTATAGGGAGAATATGGGAACTGGATGTTTTCCCCTTTTCCTTCTGCACTGAATCTGATGGTATAGTCACAGCAAATGATTACATGCTTGTTTAAAATCACCTCCTTGACTCTGAATTATAGAGAACAATCTTATGGTTATCAGAGGAGAGGTGGATGGGGGAGTTGGGTTAAATAGGTGATGGGGATTAAGGTGTACACTTGTCCTGATGAGCACAAGGTAATGTATGGAACTGTTGAATTACTATATTGTACACCTGAAATTAATATAACACTGTATGTTAACTAACTGAAATTAAAATAAAAACGAAAATAAAATAAACTTTTTTAAATAAAATAAAATAAAATAAAATACATCTTTGCTTTCTGTGGTCCTAAGGACAAATAAATGTCAAGCCACGTAGCTCTGAGCTGGGTAATTTGGGATCTGGTCCCTTAGATGGCAGCCACAGAAGTTAAGGGTTCTGGACACCTATCTGGCTCAGTAGGTGGAGCATGTGACTCTTGGTCTCTAAGTTGTGAGTTTGAGCCCCACACTGGGTGTACAATTACTAAAAAATAAACTTAAAACAAACAAAAATATTTACTTGTTATAGGGTGAGACTTCCAACTTAGCAACTATACTTACTAAGCTCACAATGACTTCCCCTATCTTAATTGGCTAACTTTTCTCCATTCTTCAGGCTTCAGTTTAAAAAAAAAAAAAAAAGATGTGTGGCCAAAGCTTTCACTCCTCAAGGAGAAGTTGGGAGTTGGGATTCCCTTCTAATTGTTAAGGCAGTATGCTAACAACAGGGTTTACAGAACGAGTGTGTCTCAGCTTTTCCTACCCATTTTGATGTGAGCATTTTCTTACCCAATATGTAGGAGTCTCTTAATTTTTTCTGTATTTCTCTCAAAAGGAATTGAGCCATAGGCATCTGTTTATTTGGTGCATCCATCAAAAGAGAAATTGAGGAGCTTCCTATTCCACCATCTTGTTGACATCACTCCAACTTTTTATATGTTTAAAAGTCATTTGCATTTCCTTTCCTATGAATGTCTATCTATAATCTTTATACATCTTTAAATTATTGACACTTTTATTAATTTCCTTGAGTTCTTCATATATTATCATTTTCTGCAACATGAGTTTCAAATATATTTCATGTTTGCTTAGTGACTTAGCTCATACTGTTTTCATCTTGCAAAAACTTTTAGGTAAGTAAATATATCACTCTTTCTCTTTGATGGGCAATTGATTCTAAGTCATTGTTATAGTAAAACTCATTAGCCAAAGATCACTAAAAACACACCTGTAGTCAAAAATATTAGGTTTAAAGGGGCACCTGGGTGACTCTGTCAGTTAAGCATCTGTCTTCAGCTTAGGTCTTGATCCTGAAGTTCTGGGATTGAGTCCCATATCAGACTCCCTGCTCTGCTTGGTGTCTGCTTGTCTCTCTCTCCCTCTCCATCTCCCTCTTCCCACTGCTCACGCTCTTGCTGTCTCTCTCAAATAAATAAATAAAATCCTGGGGTCCTTGGATTGAGTCCCACATCAGGCTGCCCATGGGGAGCCTGCTTCTCTCTCTGCCTATGTCTCTGCCTCTCTCTGTGTGTCTCTAATGAAAAAATAAATAAATTATTTTTTAAAAAGAGAGAGAGAGCAGGAGAGAGCACAATGAAGGGGGATGGAGAAGGATGCCCCTCACTAAACAGGGAGCCTGATGTAGGGCTCAATCCCAAACTGAGCTGAAGGTGAGTCACCCAGGTGCCCCACAAATTACAAAAATTTCTAGAAAATAATGAAAACCTTCTATATAAGAAACTATGAGATGCAATAACTAACTATTGGGTGAATAATATACATATACATTATACACTCATTTCAATAAAAAATATTTTTAAAAATGAATGGAAGGAAAACATATAAAAATGTAGACAAGTGCATACATTAATAATTAAACATATAAAGCCAGCTAACCAACAATTAAGACAACTAGAAATTTGTTAAAATAAAGAAATGGAAAAACCTGCCCCTAAAAAGGAGATATAAATATATTTCAAAGAAATGATAAGATAATGCTGCTATAAACATTGGAATGCATTTATCCTTTTAAAATAGTATTTTTCTATTCTTTTGGTAAATACCTAGTGGTGCAATTGCTGGATTGTAGGGTAGTTTTATTTTTAATTTTTTGAGGAACCTCCATACTGTTTTTCAGTGACTGCACCAGTTTGTATTCCCACCAGCAGTGCAAGAGGATTCCCTTTTCTCCACATCCTCACCAACACCCGTTGTCTCTTGTATTGTTGATTGTAGCCTTTCTGACAGGTGTAAGGTATCTCATTGTAGTTTTGATTTGTATTTCTCTGACAATCAGTGATGTCTTAGGAGCATTATCTACAATAACCAAGTCATGGAAACAGCCCAAGTGTCCATCAAATGATGAACGGATAAAGATATGGTATATGTACACAATGGAATATTATTCAGCCATAAAGAATGAAATCTTGCCATTTGCAACAAAATGGATGGAGCTATTATGCTAAGCAAAATAAGTCAGTCAGAGAAAAGCAAATACCATATGATTTCACCCATATATGAAATTTAAGAAACAAAAAAAATGAATAGAAAGGGAAAAAAGAAAGGCAAACCGAGAGACAGACTCTTTAACTGATAAAGAACAAATTGATGGTTACCAGAGGAGAGGTAGGTAGGGGAATGGGTGATGGGGATTAAGGAGTGCACTTGTTATGATGAGCAGTGGGTAATGTGTGGAAGTAATCCATCAAGTGTATAATCACTTGAAATTATATTATACATCTGAAACTAATATTACACTGTATGTTAACTAACTGGAACTTAAGTAAAAACTTTTAAAAAAGAAATAAGAAACACAAAGTACTTGAATTCCATGCAAGTAAAATTTAAATTTTTAAAAAAGATGTTATTTAACATTTTATTTGAGAGAGCGGATGTGTGGAGGAGCGGAAGGTGAGGGACAAGCAGACTCCACACCAAGCACAGAAGCTGATGCAGGGCTTGAGCCCATGACCCTGAGATCATAGCCCAAGCCAAAACCAAGAGTCAAACACTTGACCAACTAAACTACCCAGTCGCCCCAATAAAATTTAAAATTTAATGGAACTCATAACTTTCTAACTACAAATTATTAAAAATGATGTCAGAAGATTAAACAGAAAACTGAAACTTTCAAAATTTTTACAGAAATAAACTTGTCAAAGATTCACTCTTCAATGAAATAAGATAAAGTACCAGATGGCTTCATAGAGGCTATTCCATAAACTTTTAAAGAGTAGATAAGAACAACGATATCTAAATGTTCAGATCCTAGAAAAATTAAAACTGAACAATATAAAATAACAATATACTTAAAACAAAAATAAAGTTTACATATAAGTGAGATCATACTGTGTCTCTCTGACTTATTTCACATACCATAATGCCCTAAAGAGCCATCACTGTTGTCACAAATGTCAGGATTTCTGTATTTTTATGGCTGAATAATATTTCATTGTATAAATATACAACATATACATATAATATTTCTTTATACATTCAACCATCATTGGATTCATGTTTCCATGTCTTGGCTATGATTAATAATGCTGCAATGAGCAGCAGATACCTTTTTTATTATGCGGTTATCTTTTTGAGTTAGTGTTTGCGTTTCCTTCAGATAAATACCCAGAAGTAGAACTAATGGATCATATGGTAGTTCAATGTTTAATCTTTTGAGGAAACTTCAAACTCTTTTCTCTACTGGCTGTACCAATATACATTTCCACCAGCCATGCACAGGCTTCCCTTTTCTCCACATCCTCACCAGCATTTGTTATCTCTTGGTTTTTTTGATAATAGCCATTCTAACAGGTGTGAGGTGATAAATCATTGTGGTTTCTGTTTGTATTTCACTGATTATTAGTAATATTGAGCACCTTTTCATGTTTCTGTTGGTCATGGACATCTTCTTTGGAAAAATGTTGCTGTTCAGACTCGTTTTTTAATAAGATTGCTTGTTTGCTATTGAATTGTGTAAGTTCCTTAGGTAGTTTGGATATTAACCCCTTATCAAATACATCATTTGCAAATATTCAATAGGTTGCCCTTTCATTTTATTGATAGTTTCCATTGCTGTGCAAAAGCTTTTTAGTTTGATATTGTTCTGACTTGTTTATTTTGTATTTTTATGCATATAAAGATACATGTATGATATATATCATATACTTCTTAATCGAAATAACTTGACCATTATTAGAAATAAAATCCTATATATTATTTTAGTTGATTCAATAGAAGAGTTCTTTCCAATGTTATTTAAATAGGCAATTTCCTCTAACAAAATTCTGTCTTGGGTACATAGCAGGGCTCAATGGATATGTGTTGAAAATTCCAGTTAGAGATGTTAGTATTCCATCTTACTACAGTGGATTCTACCTGGAAAAGAGATAATCCTTGTTGGGAGCTCTTTGGGTATCAAACCTTCTTAGTAACATGGGCTAGAAAACTACTACTCTACTTTCTTCTTCTTTGTCAATAAAGTGAAGGAAACAGACGTAGACTGAATACTGCTATTGCCCTAATGGGCAGTCTTCAGAGTCTTCAGTTGTCTTTCTGGATGAGCTGTCTACTGGCTTAGACCCAGTAGCCAGGTGCCTGCTGTGGAACACCATTACATGGATGTGTAGAAGCAAAGCTATCATCATAACTTCCCACAGGTATGACCCATTGGGAAGCTTGGTTGAGAGTCAGAAGAGTATAGGAGGGAATTAGGTGGAACCAGGAGTATAAGTCAGTGAACTTGTCTAAGTACATGAGCTATGTAGGAGGGACTGTGAGTAGAGGCTGATTCTTGATTGATGCCAAGAATCCTCAGCTGAATCCAGTAATCCAGAAATAACAGAAGATAGGAAGTTAAGGAACTGTGTTCCTATTATTATTTAGGAATCAACTGCTTTGAATTTTAAGATCTCCTCTTTCCAGATATGGTCTTAGTGGTGATCATCTGCATTACCAAGCTTTCCTACTACAACTGTTACTTTATAATTCTAGCTCAGTTTTGATATACGGAATTTGCTTGCTGAAAGGGAATCTCTTTAACCATACCTCCTTTGTCCCCCTAGCATGGAAGAATGTGAGGCCCTCTGTACCAGATTGGCCATTATGGTAAAGGGGAAGTTCAAGTGCCTGGGCAGCCCTCAGCACCTCAAAAACAAATTTGGTAATGCATACAGTCTGACAGCAAAGATTAAGTTTGAAAACAATAAAAGTAAACTAGAGAAGTTCAAAGAATTCATAGCAACAACTTTCCCAGGTAATGTAGGCAGGGCTGCCTTGTGTTAAATTTTTACTTTGTTCTGCTTCATATCCTCATATCCTTTTCCTATGAATTACTTTTTTAAAGATTTTATTTATTTATTCATGAGAGACACACAGAGAGAGAGGCAGAGACACAGGCAGAGGGAGGAGCAGGCTCCCTCTTGGGATCCCAATGCTGGACTCAATCCCAGGACTCCAGGATCACGACCTGAGCCAAAGGCAGGTACTCAATGGCTGAGCCACCCAGACGCCCCTCCTAGGAGTTATTTTTACTGAGCTTTATACCAAGCTCCTTTGGAATAATTTCTCTGAGATATTATCCATGATAATGCCAAGAAACTTTCTCAAAATAGCAGAGGCTCTAACCAGTCTATTATAGGAATCAACCAGTAAGACAGACCTGTTAATATGTATTCATCTAGAATTAAATTATGGAGATTAAGTAACCTTTTTAACTTTGATAACTCTTTTTTAAGACTTTATGTATGTATTTATTTATTTATTTATTTATTTGAGAGAGAGAGCGTGCATGTGTAAGAGAAAGAGAGCACACACAAGCAGAGAGGAGGGGTAGAGGGAGAGGAAGAAGCAGACTCCCCACCAGCAGGGAGTCCAATGCAGGACAGGATCCCAGGACTCTGGTATGACAACCTGAGAAGACACTTAACTGACTGAGCCATTAGGCACCCTCTCTTGATAATTCTTTAAGGTTTCCCCCTGACCATGTATCTTCTGCCTTTCCTTGGTCCCTGAGACAGGCAATGTTTATGAAATGTAAACTAGAACAATAAACTTCCTTTACTGCTTCAAGAAAATAATCTGGATGTGTAACATAAAAATCAATAATTCTGCTTTTGTGGCTAAATTCAGTAAGTACTTCTCTGTACTCATGGTAGAGTCATTTATAGCCAGCTCTATATTTACCTCTATTCCTACTATGTTATTCTAATCATTAAGCAGAGACATGGTAGGCCCTTTAAGAATTTTGACTTCTTGAGTCTCCAGCTTGAATGACCACTCTATCATCAGTGTGGTAGCCAGATGGTCAAGATACAAGATTAAAAACATGGAGTCTATAATGATGATAAAGCAGTGAATGGTATTGGACTGCACTAAGGAAGTCACAGTAAGAATAGAGAGGAGGATATGATAGGAAATGGATACATATACACATGAGTGCATGCTCAATTAAAGGGAGAAACCACTACGTGGGAAAGATCATGAATTCAGAATTGACCATATTAATTATACCTAAATATTCAGATAAATATGTCTTTTAGGCAGTTGAATATTCATTTAGTCATTCATTCATAAGATTGATGGCACATTTATTGCATGCAATGCTGAAGATATGGAATTAACCACAAAGTATCTCACATATGCTGTTTTCCAAATGTTTTTTTTAAGGTTTTATAGTTTTTTTTAATTTTTTATTTATTTATGATAATCACAGAGAAAGAGAGAGAGGCAGAGACACAGGCAGAGGGAGAAGCAGGCTCCATGAACCGGGAGCCCGATGTGGGATTCGATCCCGGGTCTCCAGGATCGCGCCCTGGGCCAAAGGCAGGCGCCAAACCGCTGCGCCACCCAGGGATCCCTGTTTTCCAAATGTTATATTTCTTTCTTTCTCCTTTTCTGGATAATTTTTAGGTACATTATCCAGATTGTTCAGAAAAGGAGAAAGAAAGAAAACAGTTGCTCTTTTTATAGAACGGTAGATTATACTCTCAGAAAAGGTCTTCTATTAAATAAAAATACATACTGGAAACATAAAGTAAAATTGTTTTTTAATGATTTACTTAGACTCACAAAGAACATTACAACAATTCAAAAAAGGAAAACTGTACAGAAAAAAATCATCAAGCTGAAACTTGATAGTAATTTAAAAATGCAAAAGCTAATTTTCCTGAAGCAAGTTCCAATGCCAGTACTGAGATAGGTGAAACTTTGGACTCACTGCAAGGTTGGGTAGCTTAACCTAAGATTCCCATAGTAAGCAAGGACCTTCAAAACTGAACAGATGCTCTTGTTTCCAGTCCAGCACATAAAAAGGTTGGAAATTGCCACTCTGTCATAACAAGTAAAAAGCTGAACAAACTGAAATATCAACAAACTCTTCTAGAATCTGAAAGAGAGATGATGAAACAGGGCAAACCACTGCAGCCAAGATTGGAGAGACAGGCAAATACAGGTAGTCCTGGCTTACCCGAGCAGAGACTTACAAGCAGAAACCACAGTGGTAACCAGGGCCAGGATCGGAAACCCTGATCTGTAATTGAATTGCTGAGTGTGCTGTGTGGACAATTCTGAGAGGTAAAGATTCCAGGTAAGAAATCATGGGGGATATCTACAAGCAGATTATTACAGTAATCAGAGGGAAAAAACCCTACATGCTTCCAGCAGGGGGAAGAGAAGAGGAATCATTTTGAAATATATCAGACAACTCTTTTCTTTGTAACAAGACCTGCCCGCAGGACAAAACTAGTTAACCTAACCCTAAATGGGTAGGGTATTATCAGAGCTTAACTGACCTTGGAGAAGGGAAATACCCAACTTCAGCCATCTTGTCCCACATAAGAGGGGAGAAAAAAAGCTAAGAAACTCTTGTGAAGTTTACAATCCAGAGGCATAGGCTCACTAAAAGAGTGAGAGATACACAGACTATAGAACACTTCCCCTTCCCCACACCACACCACCAGATTACTAACAGCCTAATTACACCAGTTCCTTTTCCCCAAGAAGTCTGGCTATCAAGAAAAAATTACAAAGCATATGAAAAGGAAAGAAAAAAAAACCCACAATTTGAGGAGACAGAACAAGCATTAGAATCGGACATGACAAGGATGTTGGAATTATCAGACCAGACCAGTAACTGAAAACAATTATAATTAACATGCTAAGGACTATAATGGATACAGTAGGCAGCATGTAAGAACAGGTGGGCAATATAAGCAGATAGATGGAAATCCTACGGAAGAACTAAAAAGAAATGCTAGAGATCAAAAGCACTATAATAGAAATGAAGAATGCATTTGATGGGATTGTTAGTAGACTGGCCCTGGCTGAGGAAAGAATCTGAGCTGGAGGATGTATCAATAGAATTACCAAAAACAAAAGGCAAAGAAAACAAAGACAAAAAACAAACAAACGAAAACACAACAGAAGAGAGTATGCATACTGTAGGACGACTACAAAAGGTGTGACATATGCATAATGGGAATATCAGAAGGAAAAAAAGATAAAGGAACCAAAGAAATATTTGAAACCATGATGATATAATCTCCCCCAAATTGATGTCAACACCAAACGCCAGTTCAAGGGAGCTCAAAGAACATCAACAGGATAAATGCAAAACAAACAAAAACCCACACCCAGGCATATCAGTTTTCAACTACAGAAAATCACAGGAAAAAAAATCTTGGGAAAAAAAAAAAAACAGAGAAGAAAGACACCTTATCTATAGAGGAATAACATCTAACTTCTCCTCAAAAACCATACAAGTAGGGGAGCCTGGTGTCTCAGTTGGTTAAGCATCTGCCTTTGGCTCAGGTCATGATCTCAGGGTCCTGGGATTGAGCCCAGGGAGTCTGCTTCTCCCTCTAACCCCCTCTCTCAAATCTTTTCTTTTTTAAATATGCAAGCAAAGAGTGAAGTGAAATATTTAAAGTGTTGAGAGAATAAAACCACCAACATAGAATTCTGTACCCAGAGAAATTACACTTCATTGTGAAGGAGAAATAATTTGAGACAAGAAAAGAAAAAAATTGAGGGAACTTTTTGCTAGTACACCTGCCTTACAAGATATGTTAAAAGACGTTCTTTAGAGAGAAGGAAAATGAAATATCAGAAATTCAGATTTACATAAACAAACGAAGAGCATCAAAAAAGGAATAAGTAAAGATAAAAATGAAAACTTCTATTTTTCTTCTTTTTTAAGATTTTATTTATTTATTCATGAGAGAGACACAGAAAGAGAGGCAGAGACATAGGCAGAGGGAGAAGCAGGCTCCATGTAGGGAGCCTGATGCGGGACTCGATCCCAGGACTCCAGGATCATGCCCTGGGCCAAAGGCAGGTGGTCAACCACTGAGCCACCCAGGCTTCCCTAATTTTTCTTATTCTTAATTAACCTAAAAGATAAATTTTTTCAAAGTAATAATGTGATATAATCAAAATGACCAAAAGGAGTTTTCTACTGTCTTCTCCACAAAGAACATCAATTTTGACAGTCACTCACATGTAAAATCCCCTTTGTGGAAGCTGGAGTCCGGTAGAGAAGTTCCAGCACATCAGTAAGCAGAAAAGTCCAAGATTGCTCCTACTGATGAGGAAAAGAGAAACAGTGTCACCCTGATCAGGAGGTGGCACAGCTCAGTGCCAAGAGAAACCTTTTTTGCCTACAGTTCCCCCATAAGGGAAAGTAAGAGTGAATTAATAAGCACCAGCCTGGGATCCCTGTGTGGCTTGGGGGTTTGGCGCCTGCCTTTGGCCCAGGCGTGATCCTGGAGTCCCGGGATCAAGACCCGCATTGGGCTCCTTGCATGGAGCCTGCTTCTCCCTCTGCCTATGTCTCTGCCTCTCTGGCTTGCTCTCTCTGTGTCTCATGAATAAATAGATAAAATCTTTGAAAAGGAAAAAAAGAAAATAAGCATCCAGCCTCCCAAGTTGTGAGGGACACTGGCAAAGAGATCCCCTTTTTTCTTGCTCCATCCAGAATACTGAGGTGCACTGCATGACTGCGGCAGGGACAAGCTGAGAGAACAGCAAGACTCTCAGAAGTTATCAAAGGGAAGCAGATCCTACAAGTCATTTTGCAGACCCCATCAGGAAGCCTGCCCATGAGCCGCTGTTAACACCTCAACTACAATTCCCCCTAACCAGTCCACAAGCACCAATGCTCCACGCAAGTCACCCACACAAATTCCATATCTTGTGGCTGGCCCCCTATGTGCAACCGCAAGGATGTCAAGAGTGAGCCTTTGCAGATGGTTAGTG